CGGTGCCTTCATAGGCACCAAGCGCGGTAGGACGAGGAGACGTGCATAAGGCGATATACCATATATACCGGACGTGCCTCCCCGTTGCGCGCGAGGTAGGCAGCGGAGAGACGCGATACGCGCGGTTTTACTCCTTTATCCTCCCCCCTTCCCTCCCTCTCGCCGGTCCCCGCGTCTTTCCTTCCTGCACCCGCTTAACACCCACGCACGAATACACACGCCAAAGAGATACGAGGACGTGTAAACGTTACACGCGTGTACGTTACCGGGGCTTTATAACAGAGAGTTGCCGCCACCGCCACCGCAGCTGCTCCGCCTTTCTTAGAGAGAGAGCACCCGGAGGATTTCGTGATTCAGGTTTTCCTTCGGGACACGATAGATAGACGGCGGCGGCAGATAGACGAGAACGTATATGCCAGCAGCGCGCTGGCGGGAAGTGCAAACGCTTGCATCATCGTCTAGAGTAGACAACGGATATTGGAATAACCGGCGGAGATATATATTAACACTATGAAACAGCCGGCAGACAGACCGTACGTACCATAATACTCTCTTCTCAGACAACGGAATTTCTCCCGGAGTGTTTTTCACGAAGGCCTCTTTCTCATTCGAAAGCTTTGTTGAGTAATGATGTCGCGCCTGCAAAACGACGGCTTCGTTCAAAAGGAAATGAGGAAAATTATTTTTATGTAATATACTTATTTTTATGAAGAAAATAATTTAATACCTTGAACGAGACGTGAGAAAGCGCGGCGTTAACTTGCGCGTAAAGTAAAATCGAGTAACGTCTCGGTTTTCCCCGCGTGCCAATTCACGGGACGGTATATCGCGCGCGAGATCCGAGTTTCCAAGATTATCGTTGAAAGGGTTCCACCGCACGTACCACGGGTATCAGCTCCGCATACGGAGGTCGTTAACGACTCCTCGCGGACCTCGCGGGCAGATAAAGGGGCGGAGTTGTAGGTGGAAAAGAGTGTAGGTAGCCGCGGTAGGTGACTAAAACACACTCTAAACTTAGATGGTACGACCTTCCTGTCTCACGGCTGACTTCCTGGCTCTCTTTCTCCCTCGTGCCGGGAAGCGGGGAAGAATGTGGACTCGCGAGCCGGGAACCGAGACGGCGGCGAAGAGAATATCGCCGCGCGCGCAGCACCGTGGGATTATTTATTCGTTTAAACAGATGCAAATGCGAGGTGAAAAGCCTCACGTAACGGTGAATGCAGTCATCGATACTTGCAAGTAATGGAGAGACGATTATGTCGAAGCGTGTCATTATTTTCAAAGAACACAAGTATAAAAATTATTGTTGAATAAAGTTAATTCGCTCGTTACGAGCTGAGCTGTAAGCTAAATCATAGACCAAGGACAAGCGTATAATAAACTTAGGTGTTAAATATTAATTTATTCAATAACGAAAAGTATGATTGAACATTGTATATAATTCAACGTTTCGACTTTACTCAATCTTCATCAACGGTGAATTATTTAAATATTTAATAATGAACTTGAAATATGTAAAGTGGTACGTCGAGGATTGATGTCGGAACTTAGAGCAAAATAATCAAGCGTAATTGGTGATGATAAAGCAATAAAAGTAACAGAGCGTCAGAATAAATGGCAGTTTAATCATTCTTTTGTTATTGAATAAATTAATATTTAACACCTGAGTTTATTATATGCTCGTCCTTAGCCTATGATTTAGCTTATATAATTATTGTTACTAAATTTATATTTTTGTGAAATGTCCTTGATAAGTTGTTAAATAATACAAAGGGTTATATATTAATATATTATTTACGTATCTCTTTTCGCGTTGAAATTGTTTCGGCGACGTGTGATAGGAGGGTCAAGAAGTTAACGATACGGCCAAGAGGGTTCTATATTCGCTGACAAGCGGAGATCCTTGGTGGGCGTATAAAAGATTGCGATAGATGCATGGTGATCAATCGATCAAACATCAAATATACGTCAGGTACTCGTCTTTCACCTAGACCTCTGGTCTGCCGGAGCCTTACACGTTCCTCGTGCTATCCCTTTAAATTAATGGACTGACGATGCTCGAAAAGCGGAAACAGGTCAACTTCCGAACTCTATTCCTTGTGTTAATTTTCCAAGACCGCGAAGTTTAGAACGCGTACATTTTTTTACTTTCTCACGTGTTAATTCGCCTTATAATTCTCAAAAAATATTGTGATAGTCAAGTAATTTAATATTTTAATATTTTAATATTTACATTTTTTATTGTATTCTTAACACTTGATTGTCCGGGTTGATCTACCATTCATAATTCATTATATTACTGAACCAATTGTAAATGGATTAATCTACCTGTTTTGCACCACGCTATTCTTCTGTGACAATTAATTAAAGAATTAATTAAAAAATAAAAGGAAGAAAATTGAAAGATGATACGGATGAAAAATCGGGACATAACTTGCGCGGTTCTTATAAATATATATAAATTTTATGTTACATTTAAATTATTTTGATGTCTTATTAAGCAATATCCAATATCATGTTGCATAATATTTTTTATTGTAGATGTTAAAGATATTAAGAGACAGCTTATCAGATAAAATTGTTTCTACTTTTTAATTCTCGTAGATTAACATCTCGAATATTCATTCGCAATTTATTTGAGTTGTGTAATCGAGAATTCCAACGATGGATCGTACAAAAAAAATACTTTGCTCTAGAACTTCCTATCCGCTGATTGAATTACAATTAAATCTATAATGTGGAGTGCCGATAAAAATGGGGGGGGGGGTGGCCGTTCTATCGTCCTCGATGCTAAATTGTTCCGGTTTAACGGCACCGGTCGTCAAGAGGGACGACCGATGAGATTCATCGAGGGAACGTCATATCCTCCGCAAATTAAAAGCCGGAGAGAGGGCGGCCGATCCGGAATGGAGGTCAAACGGCGAGTGAACTAAATTGGAGTCGATCTAATCTGAGTGAACCTTGCGCTTGTTAGTTTTTCTCTCCCTTCCCCCGCGCACCGTGCGACGAAAAAGTCGTCAGGCATGAGTGCCTGTATCCGCGCGCGACGATGCCGATGCTGAGGAAGTGATGTCACGCGAAACCTCCCGTTTTTCCACATCAGAGGATCCGGTTTGACTCCTTGAAAGCTTAGTCATTAACATGCTTAAAAGTCATGTAAAACTTTTTGACGCAGAGATATACAAGAAGAGCGAAAATTATGTAAATTAGTCCGCAATTACCTCAAATGCCGTTGCGGAAAGTTGAAAAATGAATTCATTATATGGTTCATATTTATTATTTTTGCTCTTATGTTAGCTTTTGTTGGAAATTAATTTTAGTTGCGCAAGGCAAATCCGATAAGCTTCTAATGATTGAAGAGCGCGACATTCGTAATCGCTATATTTGTCGCCGCGATGATCATATCTCGTAAACTATGAAAGCACATTTCGTCGTACACACAAACGCGATTATCAGATAACAATATAATCGTCCGATAATGGATCACGCGTGAATCATGTCCTTGCTATCCGTAATCGCGAAGAAAACGGCAGTAGGACACTCATCCCTTCTTGCCTTATCGGACAAAGCGTTATCACGGCGCTTTGACGGCGCGATCAAAGTCACGATAAATCACCGTGCGACGATCGACGGAATTCCCCCTTTTTTTTTACGTTTGCGAACCATTCATTACTCTCCGCTTCCGTAGGATGTGCGAGGACTTTTAAGGCGACGGTGCAACGATGGCGGCCATCCGTCTTGCCTCGCAGAAAATGGAGTTGCTACCAGAAAAGGCGCTATTACCGTTCCTAATGAGGTTCGTTACGTTATAAAACCGTCCATGAACCAAAGCACGGCGAAAGTTTTCGCCGAGACTTCGCGGCTAAACGATCGCTTATTTATAAGGGAGACGGTGCGCAACAATGTGGGTGTGTACCGATACCGCGATGAAGGTATCGATCGAGCTGTCTTAAAACAACAATGTGAAATACCGCGCGCTATTTTCGGTATGTTTGCCGGAGAGAATGGACGAACGGACAAACAGCGAACGACCGAATCCCCTCATACTTCACTGGATAGAATACCGTGTTAAGAATACCGTTTTATTGATATTTACCTTACCCTTCTATACTTACAATGTTCACAATCTTCTCCACCATGTTATTAGAAATAAAATGTTAATTATATGAAAGTACCATTTCAATACATCTCTCTTTATGACGCCAACTCATAGTCATTTCGGCAAATAATTAATACATTGAATATAGAGTGCAACATAGTTGTGTACATGTTGAAAAAAATATGAACGATGAATATTTCAAGTAGTACAATTTAATTTGCCTTCAAAATCATATTTTATAATTATATAATCATACAACATCATACAATCATCTTTAGTACAGAACTTGTACTCGATATGTATTCTTTCTTTTCATCCACATCACGGTATTTGTGATGTCCCAATTTCGTTACTTCTGTCTTTAAGGATTCACCCCAGACGCGCGCGATGTATTTATATACCATTGGCATGTCCTTCAAGGCGCCCGCTCTCCTCTTGACCTTCCACCCTCGACATTCTCCACCCCCGATCGCGACTAATCGTTTGCCCACTCGCGACTCTCGATACGTACTTGTTTTCGCACACGTCCGCGGGATCACCACCACCACCACCATACCGTCGCACCAGCACAAGCGGCGGCAACAACAACGAGCGCGAGGGTGGTGTCCAACTCTCTCGGTGGCCGCTAAGGCGGAGGGCGAAGAGGGAGGGGAAAGAGAGGGGCGGAAAGAGCACTCGGTCGATCTCTCGTCGTTGCCAGGCGACCAACATCCACCACCAGGCTCTCCTCGCGCGCTCTCTCTCTCTCTCTCTTTCTCTCACCCCTCGCGCCTAACCCTGGAGCGTAATTCCTGAAAACCGGCGCCATGGCGCCATCTACGCCGCGGGGATGCTTCACCCTCCTCGGAGGTGCCCCCTCGAACCCCGCCGTAGTCGCGTGATGCACCCCGCGACGCTCGGTCCCGCACTCGGAGGCGCCGCCGGTCGTCGTACGTTTCGCTTTCGTCGAGCATTGTCCTACCCCGATGGTACGCCGGGCGGTCGGGGGGTGGCGGTGAGTCCCGGCGCGAGCCGTCCTCCCTGCCGAGGATCTCGTCCTGGCGACGACGCTCCCGAGTCATTTCTACCTGGGAATACGCGACGGGCGATATTGGGGGTCGTGCCGCCGTCGCCATATTGCTGAGGCACGACCACCCCGAAGCGCGTTTTCGCAACGCGGTGCGGTGCAACGATATACGGTGCGGGTTGGTGCAATGTGGTGGATGCCTCGTACGTTTCGGAATTGTTTTTTGACAATGGCTGCCGGTGGCGATGTCGCGCGATAACCCCGGCAACGCCGAGGGTCACCCGTTCGTTTTCCTTCACGCTAGTGGCTGCGTGGGTCGTTGAACCAGGGGTAAGTCACCAGACATATCGGTATTGACACGTGCTTTCAGAGAATTCCGAATTCATCTCTAATTGTTGTCAGACTCCCCAATTCAGTTATCTGAATTGGATCTCGATTGAATGCTATTCAAGAGTTTGCTCCGAATGCTAAGGATTAAAGAGGTATGGTTGTCATTCATTCATATTCAATGTAGATGTAAGATTTTTTGGGGATAGAAAATTTAAACATTTGCAAACCGATTTTGCCAATATGTGTTTATTATAAATAATGCATCTTACAAAATTGAGAAGAGATGCATTTGATTACAACGAATTACTACAAATTAGTAAGAAACGTTGATGATGTTTTTAATTTTCTTGTTACAATTTTGCCACATGTTAATCGTACAGTTATCGTTATATTATTCAATATAGGAAAATATATAACAATGAACGCTTAGTAATGGTTAAACGATTTTATCATTACGTTCCACGACAGTAAAAGCCAGGGAGGAAATAATGATTGCCCTTATCTTGATAATGATACTTGATCATACTTGATCATACTTGATCATACTTGATACTTGATAATGATGCTTTTCTGGTATAAACCGGTATCCGAGGTCTCGACATTATCAAGGAAATATTTGAAGCGCTCGTCAATAAAGTCATGAAACAATAACAACGCGTAGGATTAACGTGAACTTTTTTTTCTCGACTAATAAAAGAGAATCGGGGCGAATACTCAATAATACTGGTATTCGTATCGATGTCACGTTTATAGATTTAATTTATTCAGCCTTTTAAGCTCGACACGCCGCCCTCTTAACCTTTCGACCGCCCAATAAATGATGGAATTATTTCTCGCTATTTCTGTCGTGATCCATCTACACCTTCATGCTTCTCTCCGATGCACCGTCACCATCACCGAGTCGCTGATAACAAGCGATGGCCTTCGACATTTTTAGCAATTAGTCAACTTCGCAGAAAAGCATCCGGTCGAGTCTTAAAGTAAAATAAGGGCGTGCTATTCTAGATAACTTCCGAGCCGCGTGATAAATTAATCGATTCATGAGGGGATGTCTTGAAAATAATATGTCAACATTTTTTAATTATTTTTATTTTCAATATTTTATATTCAAAAAGCTTTAGTGATATTTACATTTGCAAAATTCGATCCAAATCTGTTTCGTAATAAAGGCATATTAAAACTTAAACGTCATCAATCACCATCTCGACAGACAAACGAGTATAAATCACAGGCAAAAGAATTACTTATGTAATCTCTGTTGTGCCAAATCTGTACGATTTTCCGACGTGGTGACGTGAATAAATCGCAGCGGCGAAACTTCCTGTCCCGGGGCTGGGTATGTACGAGACGAAAAGGGCTATTTGTACAGGCGAATTCCCGCGAGGGCGGGTGTTTTTTAGCTAAGGCAACGAAGGAGAGGAAAGAGGGAATCGGCTTTCTTTCTGTTCTTCTGTGTTCGCGACATCGATTCTCTTTTTCGCCGCGCAGCATCCTTCTCTCTTCCGCGTTTCTATTATACCCGCTGAATGCAGCGTGATTTGTTGAATGCGCCTACAGGTCCAGCGTGTCCAACAAATTTATTTAATATCATTGTATTATCTTCATATTACCACCTCCGCAGGCTTTGAGGAAAGATATCCTTATACTCGATTATTGAAGTTCCCCGCAAGTATACATATGAGCTACAGCAGTCGAACTTCACGAGAGAAAACTTTTTCAATCTGAAAGTTTCATACGTGGATCTTATTCTCATGCACGCTTGTTGTTGCGCAAAGTGCATGACATTTTATCGGCGACAGCTCGTTTATTTTTACACAATCGATAAATTATTAAAATATTAAAACTTTGAATCTAACTTTAACAGATTAATTTTAATTGCACACTTTTATCTTTTAGTTTTTTTTATTCTTTTGACTGATAACACTTTACCCGTGAATTAATCGACCTACGAGAAAAGTATATTTTATTTATGTTTCGGAACGTATACGACCTTATAAATTTCTTCGGCATATCGATAACGAGAAAATCGCCGGAGAAGCGGTGGGTGTCGCGAAACTGCCCATGCCACACCTAACTTCGCGAATTATTGTGCGCAGGAAACATCTTTTATTGCCGCAGCAAAGGGGACGATCAGGAAAGTCCTTGTAGAAAGACAATATCGTAGTCGATCGTAAGAGATAGGGGACGCGTGTAATATTATGTCCATATTGTATATAGGCCTAATGCGTCTGCCAATCCCGATATCCACAAAATTTATCGCGGATTTACCGCGGATAGTAATATCGTGTACGCTATATGGGTGTAATCATAAGTAACAAGACACGCGAAGCAAGAATCAGAGATCTCGTGTGATATTAAAAAGTAATTTGTAGATAAGAAAAGAGCTATAGCCATATCTTGAGAATCGTCAGTGTGTAATAACATCAAGCTCGAAATGTTCTCGCTGTCTTTTTCATCCTTTCCTAGCGAACCGTTTAACGTACGCCATCGCCAAGTGTGTTAAGTGTTTCTCGTCTTGTCTTATTTCATTGATATTAAATGCGATTTTCACAGTAGATAAATCAAGCTCAGCGTTAGACAGCCACGCATAGTTAAGTCTGTCACTCTAAAGGGAGCTGGAGAGCAGCCGAGTCTGTATCTCTATCTGATTTTCGCCCGGTAATTTACGGAGCACGTCGCTCAAATTGCACGAGGGATGCTGGTGCCATAAACGACAATGAGACATTGAGGGGGGGGGGGAGGAGGAACATTAAACGTCCACAGAATAAAAATTGAACATTGCTTGAACGATCCCCGCCTAGGTTATTAACGTCGCGATAAATGTGTAATGGGATACCATAGGATTGGGAGAAATAAAACGAGACGATCGAACTAGACGTTGTTATCGTGTAGCGTACCGTGAATCAAACGTTAGTTTTCTTTTATCTTGGAAAGGTATTCTTCGAAGGATGTCGCTGACACTACGAAAATATCCTAGACAGCACGCACGTCCAAAATCGGTACATAAGACGTCTTAAAGACATGTTTAAGACATCTTTGACACACGGTGCTGTCTGAGATGCATGTCGCACTTCGCATCGCAATTTCGTGTGACGGAATTCCGAGCGGAATTCATTCGCGCGCGGATATATCGGGAAGATATAAATTTCGCCGGCATATTTCACGCGTTCGTTGCATGGCTCGGCTCGCCACCGCGGGGCGAGATTAAAATTGGGATTAATCAGGCGAGATTACCGGCCGTCCGTGCGCTCTTTTTCGCGTGTCGCAGTCGCGCAATAAAGCCGTATAAGCGCGCGCGCGCGTTGCCGTTGAATTGTACTATTTGGCGCGATTCACTTTCCGCGGCGCGTCGTAGCGTATGTCGTTGAAAAATAATCCTCGTCGTACACCACCTCCTCCGTCAAGGCCTTCGCGTACGCCGTTCCCTTTATGCGCGCGCGACCGTATAATGCGGCCGCGCCGCGGGACCCGCGGAACGGCCCGGAGCGGAGCGGAGTAGAACGGAGAGAGGGAGAGAGAGAGAGAGAGAGAGAGAGAGAAGATGCTCTCGAAAAAGTGCGGCAACAAAGTTGCGCGGTGCGCACACCCACGTCCGCGAGATCCAGAATGTCAGGGTCGTACCTTAACCCCGCGCTGTCCTTCGTTGCCTTCGTGTACCCCACCCTCGTTTCCCTCTTTTTTGTCGCCGGGTTGCATTTCCACCGGTGCAGTTATCGGATTTTTCTAATTGCAGTCTCTCTCTCTCTTTCTCTTTCTCTGACTCTCTCTTTCACCCCTCCCTCACGGGATCACCGTTAAACACGACACACTGTTAACCGCAGCGCGAATTAAGGTACGGTCACTTAAAAGCAAACCCGTAAACCGACGCCCACGCAGCGGGTACCTGTTATATACGCACTTACGTGCGTTCAGGGGCGGATCGAAGAGCGAAATCGAAGAACGGAATCGAAAAGCGAATTGGAGTTTCATTTTCGCAGTTGCGAATCTCACTGAAATCCTTTGGAGTCGCTTTATTACCCGTCCATTTACGTGTTATGATGAAGGATATGTAAAAATTTTATCCAAATCTCCAAAAACTTTCGAGATCCAAGCACCAAGATAAAAAAAACTTAATTCCGTGAATCATCCGTTTAACACTTTCGTAATTTCTCATCTTACATGTAAGAGAAGACGTGTTTACAAAAAAATTGAAGTGTACTACAATAATGAGATTAAATTGAATGCCGTCTTTAATTTAATCTGTGAAGTACATTACGTTATATGCATCATTATTCTCAAAAAAACATCAAAGGCACCATAATTTTTAATCGTGATGCTATATTTTATCGGCGAGAATAAATTAGTAAAATTTGTTTCTCTCTCTCTCGGTATACTATAAAAGGTCCTGAAGCGTAAGGCCTCGCGCAGTCGATGCGAACCGATGCGGTCCTGGACGTACAAGTATAAGCCAGACAGAAAAATCCGAAAGGCTCTCTTCTACCGATGAGTGCCACGAATAAGGGCCACATAAAGACGGGTCATAAAACTATGATTTACGTCTTGTCATTGATGCGTTTGCTGTCCGCCCGTCCGTCGGTCAGTCCACCCATGGGCCCCCGTCTATCCATCCGTCCATCGTGCGTTCGTCTATACGCACCCATGAACCCCCCCCTCCCTTTCTCCCTCGGTTCATCATCGTCTCTCTCTTCGTTCCCTCTTATTATCTTTCTTATAGCCTACCTTCTTGTTCTTCTTCTACTTCTTCCTCTTCTTCTGCTTCGTCCTCTTCGTCTCTACCGGTTTCGCCGGATAGCCCCATCGGGCCGGCGATGATCGATTCGTCGCTTAGAAAAAGTAGCATGTCGTTATCATCGCGACTATTATATGATCCACTGTGAATTATCGCGTGCGATAGGTGCGCGCGGCGACGAGCGATTCGACGAAAGCACCTTCTCGTCACACGCGTCTGATCTCACTGTATTATTAAACATTATTTATATCTCAAGAATTTTGTTGTCTGTACCATATTACACACACAGCCGCCAATTAAAATTTTGAACTTTTTTAATTGTATAAAAGGAAAATTACAGAAATATATATATATGTGTAATATAAGATACTTTGAATAAAAATTTATTTATGTGATATTTGTAGTTTTATAAATTTTTATGAAAAACTTCGAGGAAGCTTGTCGTATAGAAATCTCGACGTCTCGAATGAATTTATGACTTGATAGTAATTTTGCGTTAGCTCTCGCGCCGCCACGCCGCAGATGCGATCTCGTAGACCTCTCGCGCGGTCCTTTGTATTTCTTCATGCATTTCTCCTCGAAACATAAGTTATATATACATGTGTACAGAGCATGGTCAGTAGGTTATTTAAAGTTTTAACGCGGTCCGCACTCCCCCGAAGAGGGTTACGTTTAATGGCGTCTGCGGTTTCCCATCAAACTTCTCCTCATAGCACCTGACATCTCACACTTATATCCCCCGGGATTCCGTCGTTTCTCATTCGTTTCGTGGAATCCTTTTACCCTGATTTTCTTTCTTTCTCATATATATATATATATATAAAGAAACACTTTTAAAACCATCTTCATCATCTTCCCGAAGAATTCCTGAAATAATCTTGCGCCATTAGTATATTTACATATGCTTTCTGCAATATATAAAAATAATATTTGTATGTACGAAATAATAAACAATATCAAATAAATTTTACATTCGCAACCTAAAATAGATTCAATTATTTTTTTTAAAGAGTCAAATATATCAAAGTTACATGTGGAATAAATAAAAGCTTGATTTTATTTTATTTTTAATTATATTTTACTATAATATTAAATTTTTTTTTTAGTACTAAACAAAAGTGGCGATTAAATTTTTATCAAGAAGTAAACTTCGAAGAAGAAATAGAGCGATTTCGTGAACACTCTGTGTACACGGGTACATCATAAAGTTTCCATGTTACTCCATTACCGAAGATGACGCAAGTACTGCGCCTTAATCGCGGGATTACATGGCTCGCGGTGTAAAAGCTCTGTGCAGGACAACGCAAACGCGAATTACGAAATAAAACTCGGCGGCGGCGTCGGCGGCAGTGTGACTGTCGTCGCGTTGAAAACTTTCGAGTGAAAGCGATCACGCGCGCGCCGCTTGTTAAGACGTCAGTTATCGTCGGCCGTAGGTGATTAATCCGACAGGTTGGAGGCGGAATTATAAAATGGCGAAATATGCGTTATCGCGCGAGCGGTGACGGCGACGGCGGCGGCACAAGGTAAAGACGAATACGTTTGATCTGCTCGTCCACTTCGCGACGCATACGTACTTATATCACGCCAGACACGGTTCATCACCGATGATGAGGAAAGACAGAGGTCCATTTATCAGAGGCTCGTTTGTAGAAATCTTTCCGAGTGCCGAACGATGACTCAAAGGATATCCCAAGATTGTCAAGGATCGTTTTACTTTAATTTTTTTTTAGTTTGCGATCCGTAGATGCGATTCAATTCCGGCGGGTTCTCGGCTCCGCAGCTCGGCTCGAAAGCGCCAAAGCGGCAAACGGTGCAACGGAGATAAATACAAAGTCTCAGAAGTTAATTAATTAATATAAACGCTTGTCATGATAGTAAACGCGGCTTGAAAATACGTAGCAGGAATCACGGAATGCCTGGAAGGTGGAAAAAGTTTCCCCGCGCAATGTTGCTTCATAACTACATATATCCATGGTCGGATCGAGGCATTTTAAGAAGCCTCGATGTCGAGGTAGGAGTTCTCAAAGAATAGCAGGCTTATATCGCTTACATTTTATAACATTATAATTCAATACTTAAAGCTTTCTCCCAAGTTAAACTGCCTGCCAGTTATAAATCGCCGACGTTGCTTTTGTAACGAATGGTCGCGCACGCATTTCTTTTTTTATTCAGATATCAGAGGGATATAATTGATATGCACATACGTTAACTTTACAGACCTAAAGACAAGATTAATTCTCTCAGCGTATATTTTTATCATTCCCGGCGTAAAGAGAGACACCGAGAGAATTACCTTCGGTGTACGGGGGCCCGGCCCTGCACACGTACGTCGGAGTCGCGACGCGAAGGTGAGCGCGCGGTTAATTTGCATAATCAATTCAAAACGATGAGTCTCGCGCCTCGAATGGATCGGTCATTCTTTTCCCGACGGCCCCCGGTATGGAAGAAAAGCCATTCCTGGCGTTATATAAATTACGGTCGTCTCACCCAAGAGAAGTGCACGCTCTCTTATGATTGTTGGGACGGCGTTGTGGTAGCGAGTAGCAACCGGGGCTCTCTCTCTCTCTCTCTCGAGTCTCCCGCCGTAGTAGCTTCGCTTCGATTTGGATCTCTGATTACGCATCGCGAAGCCGACGTGCGCCAAAAATAAAAAGGCAATGAGTAACAGGGAAAGAGAAAGAGAGAGAGAAAAAAAGGGAGCAGAAAAGTGAAGGAGGAAAAACCGCGCATGTTGCAAGGCATCGTGAGGCATAAAACCTTTTACGAGCGTTAAAAATCGCCGTGGTACGGCGTCCCGGCGCCGTTTCTTTATTTCCATTGCGGTAATCCCGTCCTCCCTTTACCGTTATACCTCGCTGTGGTCATAAACAAGCGAATCCTTTGCCGTTTTAATTTCTTCTTCGTCTCCACCGACCGAAACGCCTTATAACTCTTCTCGCATACGGTCCGCCCTCTCGCGCGCCCATCGTCTCCTCGTCCCGTCGTCTCTCGCCATCCGTTGTCATCCCTCCATCGTGTTCCTCGCATACGTAGCGTTTATGGCACTTACACGCTCGTTAACGAATCCACGTATTTTGCCAGATACGCTCCCGATTGACGATTATCTTCTTTCCATCGTTGCGACATAATTACGTCGTTTAAAAACGCGTATATTTCGTAAAGATTATTTTGAAGAATTCAATCATTCGAAAGGGAATGAATGGAATAAAAACTTGGACCATTCCATCGTTGGACAACCCACGCTCTTGCGAAGCAAAAAATTAAGCGCTGCAAAAAAATTGAGAAGCCTTGATTTATATATCAGCTAGAAAATTACATAAGATAAAATCAATAAATTTGTCTGTAAACCTCTGATTATGTAACTGTTTAACACCTCGTCTACTTCGACGAGGTTTGAATACGATGGTAGAAACGTAAAAAAGAATGCGTATTACGTAACTTTTTAATCCTACCTATTTTTTGACAAGGTTTCGATGATGAAAGTGTAAGTGGTATATTCCTTTTTAATATTTTATTAATAGGACATACCACTTCAGTAAAACATATCCATCACGATTACATAATGTATCTTATTTTTTCTGGGAATATTATTGATAACCGATCGCGTGATTTTTTGTCCTGTCGCAGATGTGAGCTACTGAAGGTGGGATCCTGAGGAACCGCGAGGTTCTCGCAATGGAGGCGGGACCAAAGCAGCAGCAGCAGCCGCCGCAACAGCAACAGCCCCAGCAACAGCAGCAGCAGCAGCAGCATTCGCCTCAGCAGCAACAGCAGCAGCAGCAGGAGAGCTCACCCGGCAGTGCGAGCTCTCAGTCTCAGATCCAGGGAACCATCGGTCCTCAAGGTGGCCCGGCGCAGGGTCAAGGTCAGCAGAATGCGGAGGACGCGCTCGCGGCGGAGAACACCCCCGTCGGCGAGGGCGTGCTCCTCGCTCGGATCCACGTGCCTGAGCTCTACGTCAGCAAGTGTCTGCAGTTCCCGAAGGATCAGCTGGTCTGGGACGTGAAGCAGCAATGCCTGGCGTCCTTGCCCAAGGTATGAACGACGTTTCGACTTAGGTATAGGGAAGGAGTTTCTCGTGTATATTCCTAAAATATCCCGAGGGAAACCTTGAAAACAGCCTGGGGAGCTTGGGAGTTATATCGATGCTCTTAACGACGATCGAACACGCGCGCGTCCGCGCCCGCGCGCGATTCACTCCCGGACTAAAATTTATCTCCCGGCTGCTCGATAGCGCGAGATAGACGGACGGACGGACGGGCGGACGGACAAGCAGGCAGGTTGCGCGATGGAAGATGAAGGGGAGAAATTGAAAACGGAACGCATTATTCTCTTTCGCGGCAATAAATCCCGCGCGCGTACTTCTCCCGCGTGTTATTTCTGGCCGGACGATCCTTACGTCGGAAATTTATGAAGCCCGTGGCGGATTCTCGTTTTGCCGTCTCCATCCGGACGTGCGCGAGAGAGAGTACTCACGCGCGCGCGCGCGCTTGCTCGCTCGCTCGCTTGCTTACTTACTTGCGCCGAGTCCTTCGCACGATAATTATACGTATTTCGTTGAGAAATTCCCCCGCGATCGAAAGCGCCGGTAATATAATTCGTAGCCCCGATTTAGCGCGAGTTTGCGCGCGCGTGAGAGAGAGACAGAGACGGTGCGCACGTGGAGAAGGACGGAAATAAGCGGTGAGAAGCGGAACGGCGTTGGCCTCTCTTACCCTCTCATTCCCGTACGCGCACGTAGTGCCGGTCGCATTTCGTTGAGAAATTCGTCCGCGATCTCTTTCTCTCTCTTTATCTCTCTCTTTCTCTCGAGAGCGTAGTATAATATAATTCGTACCTGCGCCACCCGGGGCGATTTGTTCCCGCTGGAAATTGCGGTCGCGTGTATATTTCACCGAGGATCGCCGAGTATCGATTAATCGCCGATTACGGTCGAACCCCATCGGATCTGTCATTTATCACCGTGCATCCGCTTCTCTCTCGCGCTCGCGCGCGCGCGCGCACCGCCATGCCAGATCCCAAGGACTCCATCAGGCTTTTTTCGAAGGACACTCCCTCCGTCCTCCCTCTCTCTCTCTCTCTCTTTCTTTTCCCTCTTCTTTCCTCTCTTTCTCTATGTCTCTCTATTCCTCTGCTTCTCTCCTCTTCTCTCCTCTCTCATTTTCTTTCCCTCACCTTTCCTTCTTTCGCCCGCCCTCTTCGTCGTCGCGAAACCGCTCGTAGTTCCTCGGGCGGCAAAAAGTACAGCGCACTGAGCAGAGGCAATGCTGCGCGCACTGAGAGCGGAGGCTGCTAGCGCGCTTTACATGCCGATTTCGCGAGATTGCAGACAGCGCGAAATTAAGAGCCGCCAGAGCGAGTAATGACGAATTCTCGAGGCGAGGAGAGAGCGAGATTCCAGTCTTTTCTGCTGCTTTCGTGGTGAATCGTCCCACGGGACTGCCGAGAGTCACGAAGAGTACGTCAGATTCAAAGACGGTAATCGGATCGAGTCTCCTCTTCTCCTTTTTTTTTTGTTCGAGAGTATCGGAACTTTTCTTTGCGGGAAAACATCTCTCCAAACGTGTTCCATTGATCCACGCGACGCAATCAGGAGCTGTTTGTAACGTTTTTTTTTTAATTATAACTTTAATCGAAGAGTTTAACAAAATAGGAATATATTCTCCTTTTCAAGAATTTAGGATGATCTTGAGAAATTGAGAAAATGATATTTTATGTTTCTCGAGTTTTTAAAACGTAATTTTTTAACCACCGAATTCGTTGTCGCACCGAATCCTCCGCCCGCACTCTTACTTTCCGTTGATCACTGGATTTCCTTTTATCTTGGTACTTCAAAAGAAATCGCATTACGATTCGGTCGACGACACTGCACGATCCGATACTCATCGCCTTTGAATCCCATCGCGTACTCGCTTTCGTCGTGCTTTCATTCGACTCTCAAGAACTTTGACGACCGCACACAAGAGCACATGTGTTAGACGCACTTTGTTGCCGAAGCGTGTCGAGAATAGACACGCGCACACGCGCGAGTGTCCCCGTTAGGCGAAATAGAGAGACTAGAGTATCGATATTGTGTTGAAGCTTTTCGCTTTCTGTGAAGTCGTCACGCTGCCATACGTCCTCCATCTCTTTCTCACTTTTTCTCTCTCCTCCACCCCCTTTCTCCTCCCTTCCCTTTCTCCCTTTGTCGCTCTTTCTTGCTCTATGTCACGCAAAAATTTTCACGCGTGTCGTCTTTCTGCCTTACATGCTTGCCTTCCGGGACACAGGAGGTACAGCACAGAGAACCCCCGATATATATACCCCCGTTAAGTCCTTCACCCAAAAACGACCAATTGCTTACTCGACATTTTCGTTTTCTTCGCTTCACCCTTCGTTTTAGTTTTCCCTCGCAAATCTCATCGATCTGTCGAGTCTGCGAATAACTTCTTTAATTCTTTCACGTTCCATCAAATCGAATTTATAAACTTTTTTGTATAATAGCAGAGATATATTATACGTTCTAGATATATCAGGTACGTGAAGGAGACTTAAAGCGATTTAAATACACGGTACCAGTACACGGTTCGTCGATTGTATTATACACGACGATTGTGTGTCTTGCATGAAAAGAGAACATGTATTGGTACCGGTCCAATCCCGTCCCAGTATTTTCCCCAGAGTTTGATTTGTACTTAATGTTTTTACTTTTAGTTCTATATACTCATTGAAATATTTATGCGCTGCATTCTCAGGATGAATTCGTCAACAATCTCCTGAACCACTTAAATAATAAAATATTAACGTACTAATAGATGATGTATTATAATTATTGTGTATTATAATTACTATATATATTGCGAAGAAAGGAATGTTTATCATGCGATTACGTCCAACTCATCCTGGGACAGCGTCTTACGACATGTACGTGCACCTGTATTATTCATACGTTTTTTTTTTTTTATTCATGTGTATAGATTTATATATACGTATATTTGTCTCGCGATGCGCGTGATCGCCAATGATCGTGCATTTTCTGACCTGTGCTGTTGTTGTTGTTGTTGTTTTTGCTTTTGCCTCACCCTGCACGGGGGCGAAATACACTCTACACCCGCCACCAACCACCAACCGCCACACCTGTGCTACTATCGTCTCGTGTTGTGGGGGCCCTATCTACGAACGCGCGTACCACCCCCTTAACGAACGAACGAATATCGCAAATGCCACGCGCGAAAAAAAACCGCGCCTCTCGCGGGCCCTTCATCACCCACTCCACTTCCGGTTGTGTTACGGATAAACCGCCAACACCGCTTCTCCATCCCTTTCGAGCGTCTCGCAGGTGGCCACTTGGTACAGGGTACGTCTTCACTATTACTAATAGCATGCGACCACGCCTTTCGTTCCTCGTCGATCGGTTTCACTCCCCCTTTTGTATTTGCCGTTTCGCGCCGATTCGCATGGCGAAATGAGAGAATCCTGCGACGATTTAAAAAAGGGAATGATACTTTTATTACAATACATTTATTATTATTCACTCAGAAACGAGATCTTCAGTTTTTAAATGTTCAGTAGAATTGTTTTGATTAATAATGATATTCACAGGATGGGCCATTTTAATCAATCCACTGGAATATCTCATAGCCTTTACGTTTGAGACAAAAACGTTTTAGACGAAAGTTACATGGTTTGAAGTGGGCCACGTGATGAAAATATGGACTTGACCTTGAGTGACCTTTTCAAGGCCAGGCCAATGTTATCAATGTTTTCTTAAATGGACCTCCCCATTTTTTGTTGCATATTTTTGTAGCCCTTTTCGAGACGTTTTCAAAACATTATAATAAAGCTTTTTTTCGTTAAGAATTTTCTGAGATATTTCATATTTTATATTAAAAATATTATGACAAAATTTGAAATTTCTCAGAAAATTCTTAACGAAAGGGAGTTTTAGTATAGTGTTTTGAAAATTTCTCGACAAGGGTTACAAGAATATGCAACAAAAAATGGGGAGGTCTATTTAAAAAAACATTGATAACATTGGCCTGGCCTTGAAAAGGTCACTCAAAGTCAAGTCCATATTTTCATCACGTGGCCCACTTCAAATCATGCAACTTTTGTCTAAAACGTTTTCGTCTCAAACGTAAAAACTATGAGATATTCCAGTGGATTGATTAAAATGGCTCACCCTGTATATTTCCTACAAACCATTAGCTTTTCTTTAGACATTGCTCGTGTCATATTTCCCTACAAATTGATTTATGTTTTTTGGTACATACGTGTAACGTCATGTTATTAATTTTTGATTTAGTAAATTTGCAGAGAAAGTTGCAGTAAAGCGCTGTCACGTTGCACATTTGTTATACAATCTGGTTGTAGTAGCAGAGTTACATAAAGTGATTATTTTTATTCATTTGCTAACAAGCCATGATTACGTAGCGACAGTTAATCTTCAATTTTCCTATCTGTTTTCTTTGTATCTACCGTTTAGTATGTATTAAATATTGGGTTGGCCAATAATCCGTGCGGTTTTTTATTTATAAATTTTACTTATGACTTATTGGCCAGCCTATTACTTATGGATTAAATAATAAAACTAATATTTGATGTCTTTGAAGTTAAAGGATTATAAGAAAAATGTACATTTATTTTTTTGTATAATTCAGGATTATATTTCATATTCTCTTATCGTTCCTTAGTACGTCTGTGTGAATCTCTCGAAGCGAATACCACGATTGATCTGTAATACAGAATGGGGAGATCGGGAATAGTTTTAGGTTGCTCATATGGTATAGTGTTCGCGAAATATCGACTAGCATGCTTGTACAATAGTTTGTCGAAGCAGTTTAGCAACGTGATTGTCCTTAACTGTTGGTCTCTGCACGATAATAGTTTATAATAATAGTTTGTACGATTGTTGCTCTGATGTTATTGCACGCAATGCCGGACAGTTAAACTGAACGGTAAATTTCGAGAAGATCATAAATTGCAAACTGTTTATGTAACAATTACAATATGCGTTCTGTTACGATTTATTCTGATTGTTCTCATCGCGTGTCTTATTATGAGTTTCGTTCAGTTTCGGAATGCGTGCATCGAGAGTTGTTGTTTCTGCTCGTGTTCAAAAACGTCAGCGAAAACAATCGTAACACGCAATTGCATGCACGATTTGTGACACACAAATCGAGCGGCTACGCGCGCAATCTGCACGGTTCTCGGATATTTTTTATGACTTACAGAACGGTGTACGCGACAAATTTACGAGTGTATGAAGTTAGCCCCCCTTTTTTTGAAATTCATATTTTTGAA